ATGAACCTGACTTAAAAGTTCAATACTGAACCTGAACTGAACATGAACTTGACTTAAAAGTTCAATACTGAACCTGATTGAACTGAACCTGAACCTGAACTTGACCAAAGTTCAGTTCAGTTCAGGTTCATAGGAACACTACTGTGCATGAAGTTATCATATTACTCCCAATCTAACAACAAGCTGAAATTATACCAACTATAAAAAAACTAAGACAATTCTACACTATCAGGACAATACCTGACACTCTGCTTAAAATTCCATTTCTCTCTACCCTTAACTGAAGCATATTTAACAACTTAGCAAGAGTATTACACCTCAACACCCCTAGCACTGTCCAAACCTTTGCTAGCCTGGCCTCTATCACAGACAATATCAAGCCCTCTACACTATCTGCAATAGCTTCTACAAAGGAAAATACCCAGGATACTACTAATATAACTTCAACAAACACAAGCAACATCTCTTTATTAAACAAAACATCACCAATAGACACTAATAAACACTTTTATGACTAACTTATCCTAATTAATACTATTAATATACTTTACCCTCTTACACTCTCTATCAGCACACACAATATAGAAGAACTTAATACAAATACTAAAAAAAAAAACATGAGAAAACTACTATATACAGCATAATCTCAACATTATTAGCCTAACAAAAACCAAACTTTCCAAAGAAACAGTATACTACAAGCAGTACAAAACGCCATATTATATCTATTACTAGTCATGTACTGACAGCTCTTGTACTAGAACAGCCATCATGATCCACAACTACCTATCCTCTCACATTCACAAAATTCTTACAGTTCTAGATTATGCCATAGCAATTGACCTTTTCTTTAAAAATGACTTCAAATTCTGCATCATTTCTCTTTACCTGCCAAATAACGATGCACAGCTTAGATACAAAATACTATCATCCAATGGCTATAGCACAAAACATTCTTCTAATTACATTAGGAAACTTTAATGCCTCTATAGATAACACCTACTTACAATTAATCAAATATAAGCTTCTTCAATATCTAACATATATACAATCATTCATACAACTCTTTCTAATGATTCCTTGCACCAAAAATTCAACTAATACCAACCTATGAACATTGTATAGTTAGTATGTTTTTTCATAATAAAACTTTGCCAAATAGCATCTGGGTTCAAGAGTTTTAGATTGCATGTAAGCACTATAAAATAGAGTTGAAAAAGACAGCTTCTTGTAGGTTGGCTCTTCGGTAGAAGTCTATAGAGCTATCGAACAAGTAGCTTTGGTAACAACCAAGAAAGTTTTTGTCAAGTTATATCGGAGCAAGTGCAAGAATAAAAACTTGAATAAATATACTATTCTATATAACATAAACTTTTACACTTGTTTTGGTGTTTATCCTGGCCTATTATCTTTGCTATTACCCACTTGTGCTTTTAACAAAATTTTCAAAAAAAGTGGGCAAAACAGCTTACCCCTGTCAGAAGATCAGTATTGTTTACTTCTTTCAAATCTGGACAACCAGGTGGATTGCAACCATGTGTTTTAGGTTGATCATAACAATAAACATAGTGCTACCTACAGAGGACCGGGACCTTCTATTTATTTTACATCCAGATTTGGTCATATATTAGAAAGAAGATTTTAGATAAAGTGAAACTTTACAGTCAAGATATACTATAGTTGGATTAGTTATATAATTTTTATTATTTGACCACAAACTGCTTCTTGATAGAGGTGGATTGGTTAGCCTGTAGAGGCTTTTCTCTTTGTTTTTCTTTTTATATATTCCCCTGTTTCCTATTTGTTTTCCGTTTTGATTCCTATTTTGTTTATATGTTATTTTTTTTAGGTTTAGTTTTCTTTTTGCTTCTTAATGTTGGTTCTGTATTGGTAATACAGAATTTTACTTTCTTGTACTCTTAGTAAAGAAAGAAAGATTGAAGAGATTAGTTCTTGACAGGCTAACAAGGTCTCCTGACACGTATATAAGTCAGTGCGACAAGTCATATCTGGGCGCAGTATCTGTAGCCGGGTGATACCAGGCTTGTAATTGCAAAATGCATTTACTAGAAATAGGTTTTAGTTCTTAAGACAGATTTCATCATGTAAATATTTGTATTGTAGCACCAACAAGACTATCAAAGAATAAAAAAAAAAAAAAAAAAAAAAAAAAAATATCTAATATAACCTGGCTCACACTCTCACAAATTAGCTCCTACCTGGTACAGAGCTAATCTTAGTAGTAAAATTAATTACATTTGGGTTTACCAACCAATTCCCCAATACCTCACTAACTACGATACTGATAACCCCAATACTAGCACTATAAGAAATCACAAAATTCTAATCTCCCATTGGCTTTTCTTCTTTGCTGCAACTGGACAGTCCAGACACAAAACTTAGACCAAGAGAAGAATTTTTAACTACAAATGCATGAACAAAGAAAAATGTAAAAACTTCATAAATCAAGTTAATACTAACCTTCAGCAACACTATATACCCTCTTCTACTCTGACCTCAGAAACCCTCAAAACCACATAGCATAAAATTTAAACTAGTATTATTACTGCTGTACTTCACCACATACCTAATCAAAAATTCACAGTCTGCAACTTTTATCTCACCTTCTCTTTCAAAGCTACACAACTTTATTATAGCCTCAAGAAACTTGGCAACATTACAAGACAAGCCAAGCACTCATTTAAAACCAATAGCCAAACCTGCATCTACTACAACACTACTGTCACGGGGTTTATTAACACTCTGTGAACTACTAGACTTTTACTATCAGTCTTTAACTTGCTTGGCTATAATATACGATGACTGATATATCGTACCAGATACTACCACCAATATATATTCACAGAGATAACAACAGTTTATTCACTAAGAATAATTAAAAGAACTCAAAGTTCAATCTCCCTCTCTCTCTTTTAGGATCGATACTTTATTTATTTGTTACTAATACATATTTGCGTCACTGATTATTACTAATCGCTATTGATTACTACATTGTTCATACATCAATATTTAGACTTTTAATTAAATTGTCATCCCGATCGCTGACATTCAATCAACACCCGATCACTAGTCACATGGGTGTTACGCAGCACCATGACATAAGCTAGAACCCCAGTAACTTCGTTCCTGAAGTTACAACAACTTATATCCATCCCACCAAGTTTTCTCACTTCAAAACGACTACCAAATACTGCACTAACTAGTCCATCATTCCCAATCACATAGTCTAAATATAGTCGTTTGAAAAATCTCTTCCTTCCAATATTTTCAAATACTATCGGCTACAATTAAACTTTTGAATTTCATTTTCACCAACACACAACGTGTCCAGCTTTTTTGGATCATTACTATCTTTATCAAAACTTTTATTACTTTCAAATCTCAAGGTATTCATCACCTTAACTTTCGCATTGTCAATTCTCAATACACTTTCAACTAACTCGTATACACATTATTCATGACTTTTCTACTTGTTTTCACCCTTTAGCAGCTTACACCATTTAACCTTACAAAATTATTCACATTACGTTTAGCCTTTAACATGCTATTCAATGTTCATATAGTGCTTGGATGACTCATAGATGCTCCTCCTAATCCAATGCATCGTTTATTCTTATCATCACACTTGTGATCACGTGTTTCATTATCACAATTCATTTTCCCGAGGCTTTGACATTGAACAAATGCCTTTTGTTCATCTTTTTCATTTTCAATTTTACCTTCATGGTAATCTTTTCCAGATTCATTTGTTCTGCCATCTGCAGCTTCACCCCATTATAATCAAACTCAGCCTCATTATCCTCCAATACGTTTACTACACACCTTACATTCACAACATTATTGTCTTTTCCATCACTACTTTCTCTTTCTCTTCGCCAGCACCATCATTCTCCGTCAATTTACCTTTAATACATCTAACATCTACAAATTCATTTTTTCTTTGATCATCATTCTTTATTATACTACCTTTATTCATATATTCATCTATGCTTTTATCAGAGATCATGAATGTTGCTTTCTCTAAGCCAAATCGAATCATACAGTGACATTTTCCATCCTTCTATTCAAAACTACACCTTGTTTTTATAACCCACGGCATTCCAAGAATAACATTACAACAAAATCCACGCTTCACATGGAACTTTTGAACCACTTTAATACTGTCAATATCAACTTCAACACCAGGAACACATCCAATGATCTCATCATCACTTGTACTAACAATAGTTGATATATTGTTAAAACGTCTCCAGATAAGCCCTTTCTTTTTCACATAATCTATGTTTATTAGGTTTACACCTAAAATAGTTCTAATCGATGCTTTCACTGATTGTCTGTTTATTTTCATCAATATCCCTATTGTCATACTGTGATTATCTCCCTTCGAATAGTCACCTTCAACGTATTTCAAATACCATTTAGACACTTTACGTTCGTCCTCAGCAGATCTTTGGTGGTTAATGGATGCTGCATGCTCAATTCCTATTCCATTTCGGTGACAACTTCGAACATTAAATGCATCATTAGCATTACTCATGTCAGCAGATTTCTGATAATGGATGGATGCCTCAAATTCATCTGTTTCAACATCTTTATCACTGGATGCTAGATTAGATTTGACATTATGGGCTGTTTCATTATCATATATAAATATGTTTTTAACATTTTTGTTTTTCACTCCATATGCCCCTTCATTTCCCTTTTTATTTGCAATCACCTTTCTGTTTGTATCCTCTTGCTTTTCATTAACACCCCTTTCGCACTCCTTGATTTCACCATTTATATTATCTGCATCATTACTATCACACTCAGTTTTGTCAACGATTCTAATAAACCCCTCATCATCGCATCCATTCTCATTACTTCATCCAATGGTGCTTCCATAATTACCATCGCCTCATCACTTCGATAGCAGTTGTCAAGAACCTCTTTGTCAAATTTTAATTCCCCTTCAGCTGCCAATTGTCTATCATCAGCTCTGCCTATTCGATTTCGATCGCATAATCCAAGATCACAGTGTTTATATAAACTACCACCTTCTACACGTTTTAAATTCTATTCGACTGTTTTATATCTGTCATTGGCAACTTTTATATAACGATTGAATGTCCTCTTTTCGTTGGAACCTTCAGATTTGTCTTTTAGTTTCGTTCCTTTTTTTATTTTCAAATTGCCTTGACCACCTGAATTAACATTTGTTTTCCCCTTTGTTCTTGGCTTATGCGTTTTAACACTTTCACCACACCTTCGAATGCTTTTCGCATATTTATTATTACCAAACCTAATAAGCCTTATATCCTTAATTTTATCAACTGGATACATATGATTCTTCTTTTTCTTCCATTTATTGTTTTCATCTACATTCACTTTTTTGTTTTCAGGTATCACTATACCATGTTCTGTTTGTTCATGCTTTATTTGATCTGGACAATTAAGAGCTAAATGTCCTTTACGTCGGCATACATAACACAGCTGAGGTTTATAACGATGTCGTTTTACTTGTTTTGACTTCAAGTTATTCACAACTTCAACTACAATTTTTACCACATTTTCCACCAACAATAATAAAAGATCAATACCCTCCATTTTCATTTGTTTACTACTAAGGTATTTGCTATTTTCGTTCAATGTTCTAATTTATTTGGACCTTTCATTAATAATGTTCTTTTGTATTCCTTTCACAATATTTGATACCAACTTTTACTCAACAAATACCACTGAGGCAATTAATTTACAACAACTTTCACTGATTATGCCCTTTATCCTTTCTTGCTGCACAAATTAAACGTATCTTGCGAGTGGAACCTTCGTCTACCAGGTCCTTTATGTCATGTGGTTTATCAACACTCCGTGAACTACTAGACTTTTACTATCGGTCTTTAACTCGCTTGGCTATAATATACGATGACTGATGTATTGTACCAGATACTACTACCAATATGTATTCACAGAGATAACAACAGTTTATTTACTAAGAATAATTAAAAGAACTCAAAGTTCAATCTCCTTCTCTCTCTTTTAGGATCAATACTTTATTTATTTGTTACTAATACACATTTGCGTCACTGATTATTACTAATCGCTATTGATTACTACATTGTTCATGTATTAATATTTAGACTTTTAATTAAATCGTCATCCTGATTACTGACATTCAATCAACACCCAATCACTAGTCACATGGGTGTCGCACAGCACTATGACACTACTATCTCCCACCTTAACCAACTACATGATCTTTAATTACCTTCTATCTCTCTTATATCCTAACTTATTACTAACTGGTTAGTAGCAGCCAATACTAAGTGGAAAAAGTTATATCACGAATATAACTTAGAAAATATTAAACAAACACAGTAGCAAATCTCAGAGGCTATTTCTAGAAGATGTACAAAACTTCAATCAAACCCCACAGCTATGCTTAACAATATACTCAATCAATAAAAAGACTCTGTTAGATTTAGTAATATCAAGCTTAACCACATCCAACAACACTTTAACAACTAGACAACCTATCGACCAATAAATCAAGACCTATTTGAAGAACACTGACACACAGAGTACAAACCCAAACCACATATTTTATCTACTTGATATACAACAGCACTCTCTGACTTTACTCAAGAAGAGGTACTCCAAACTCTTTGCCAGTTGTCAAACAACAAGGCCTGTGGGTCTTCAGGAATAAGTTATGAAATGTTTAAGCATACAGAACCTAACTTTTTACAAGACATCACAGCACTACTTAACTAATGCCTTTTCTCTCAAACAATTTCTAAACAATAGAAAGAAGGAAGAATCTATCCAATTTCTAAAAAACCAATCTTTGATAGCAACCTAGCCAACACAAGACTCATTAGCCTTATTGAACATATTAAGAAACTCTATACAAAACTTCTTACTAACTGTCTAAATAAAATTTTATCTGAATACCCAATTCTCTCTCTCTTTAATTATGTTGCACTCCCTGGCAACTCTACTTTCATCCCAATTCATATTCTTAACAACATTATAAAAGATGCTGTATATAGCCCCAACCAGCTCTAAATCCTCTCACAAGATATGAGCAAGGCCTATGACTCAGTTAATTTTGACCTGTTTCAAAAATCTCTATACAGAATTAAGATGCTCCAGCCACTTATTAATATTCTATTCAATCTCCTCACAGATTGCACTAACCAAGTCATTACTAACTTTGGGCTTACTAACTACTACTCGGTACAAAATAGTATTGACCAAAGAGAAACTATAATACTACTTTTCTGGAGAATATACTATAACCCACTTATTATGAACATTTCAACTAACCTATCTAGCTATACAATGCAAATATCATAGCAACCTAGCCTTATCTTAACTTCCTCCAATGTCTGCTATGCTCAATATCAGTTCTTGTCTATATAGATGATACTCTCTGGATAGCCCAAACCAAAGAAGACCTCAAAAAAATAATATGAGCTGCCGTCAATAGAAATAAGGCAGATTGACATTTTTAAAAAAATTAATACCTTAACTTTCACAGCTCATATCTCAATGTGTTTTGAAGCTATCCTAATAATTTAATATTCACAAGAAAGCTTAGATCGTAAGCTTTCTTTTGACTATTAAATCATTAAGATAGCCTCAAAATTCATCGAGATATGAGCTGTGAAAGTTAAGGTATTAATTTTTTTAAAAATGTCAATCTGCCTTATTTCTATTGACGGCAGCCCATATATATATATAGTTAAGCAATTGCGTAATTATATAAATATAATAACGAAAGTTTATAAAGTAAATATCTCTATGAAATTTGGTGAATCGGCATTTTAGCCCTAAATTTTAAATTTTAGTCTCAGTGCCAATGATTTAAAAAAATTTTTAACAAGTTTTAAAACATCTAAAAAACTGTTTAAACCGTTTTTTTTTCACACGATACAGCAAAGCAAAGATAATTACCGTGTTATAACAAATACGAAATTCGATTGGATAGTACTGTAGTAAAAATTTTGGAAAATCATCACATGTGCGGATGTATTATGATCAAAAACTTGTGTAACTAAAACAGGTCGTCACGGGTAGATCCGTAAAAATTAACCAATCAATAACAAAAGCTAAAAAATTTCTGTTTACCAGTTCAGCAGTTACGCGATGTTTACTTTCTCCAAAAAAAAAAAAAAATATGGTAAAAATAAACACTAAAAAAAAATTCGTTGTTTTTTTTTGTTTTTTAAAATTAAAATTTATTAAAATTTTATCGGTTCTATCATTTCAAGAGCTCTTCCAGTCCATTTTCAACTACTTTACTATTGAAGATGGAAACAACAAGAAAACATAAGCAGGCCTTTCTTCCTTCAAATTCTTCAAGACATCGACGACGATATTTTAATTACCTCCAATTAATGAAGAACCCATTGTTTAGACGTGAAGACATAAAGGTGAGCCTCTATATTTATTATGGTGGAATAAGTCATTTGCAGGCGCTATGTACCTGTTACGTAAGTACTTTGTACCATTAGAGATGGAATCGAAAAAATATATTTTTTTTATTAGGATAGGTTTTTTTTTATTAGGATAGTTTTTTTTTTTTGTAGAATAGTTTTTTTTTGATTATGATAAGTTTTTTTTTATTAGAATAGATTTTTTATTAGAATAGATTTTTTATTAGAATAGATTTTTTATTAGAATAGATTTTTATTAGAATAGATTCTTTATTAGAATAGATTCTTTATTAGAATAGACTTTTTATTAGAATCGATTTTTTATTAGGCTAGATTTTTTATTAGACTATTTTTTATTAGAATAGATTTTTTATTAGAATAGATTTTTTATTAGAATAGATTTTTTATTAGAATAGATTTTTTTATTAGAATAGATTTTTTATTAGAATAGATTTTTTATTAGAATAGATTTTTTATTAGAATAGATTTTTTGTTGAAATCGATTCACATCACTATGTAGGAGTGCATAAGTCAGTAATAAGCTGTACGCTCGGAGTACTTTTGCAAAAAAGGAAGGAAGGACCCTTTGCTAAACCTGGCTAGCATTGACCGTGTCCTCTGCATTTGGCATTCCAGATTTCTTTTAAGAGGTCTACTTTTTTCCAAGAGGCGCGGTTATGCCGCAGTTATGCATCCTCTCTGTAATTAAGAAATCATGTTCACAATTTAATCTATTTTAAATTATTTCTTTATTTTTATTAGTATACTCGAAGTACTTTTGCGAAAATGTAAAAAAAAAACCATTTGCTAAACCTGGTTAGCATCGACCGTACGTAGTGATCTACCAACGTTCACTATTCAAGATTTCTTTAGGAGGTCTACTTTTCCAAGAGGCGCGGTTATCCTGCAGTTATGAACCTTCATTTATAACTTTGGTGTGTCTATTTACTGTATGCTAATATCTTTTTAATTTTAATTCAATATAGCTTGATAAGCTCATTAAAGAGAAGCAAGCTCAATTAAACCGACTTCGTCGAAAAGCTAATGAAAAACGACAGAAAAATGTTGTTCGAATGCAGTTGAAGATGATTTTCCCCGCCGACATTGCATTGGAGAATTCAGGGCATGATGGTGGTGATCCATTATTCGATTTAAAACAAGTTGATAAAACTGGGATAACTGCCTATTTATCTATTTATAATGTATTCATAATGTATTTATAATGTATTTATAATGTATGATTATACGATAATTAATAACATTTTAATAGGTGTTGAGAAAAATACGCAAAGGAAATATGAACGTGATTCTTGAACAAGACACCGATGATGGTGACGTGATCGAAGATCAAAAATTGTTAAAAGACAAGGATGAAGATTCTGAAAGCCATAATGAGGTTAGTGATTCTAGCCGAAACAAAAAAAATCGACTAGGCCGATTTTTCGACCCGGCCGGTTGATTTTTTGCAAAATCAGCTGGTCGATTTTGTGAGGCTATTTATCATAATAATAAAATGACTTCCCTGAATTGTAACTACCAGAATTTTTACATCAATTAATTTTAGTATTGTATCTGACTCCAAAACTTCGCTTATATTTCACAGTTCTTGGTAGTTCAACAGCTAACTTTCCAGCAACAATATTAAACTATCATTGCGATTTATTCACAAATATATATGTTCACCATTACGAAATTATTTAATTTGCATTACTTTAGTCTGAACTAGCCAAGCTCACATAAATTTAAAAAATTGTTAACCGAAATTGATGTCTGCCAACATCAGTAACTTAATAATTCTGACTCAGTAACTTATCAATTCTGTCACTGAAAAATTTTTTAGCTGCCCGGAATTTATGAAAACAACCAAATAAAGAATGAAATTTAAAATAGGATTATGAATATATCATTTTACCAGATAAACTGAAAATTTTTCGACTAAGTTGACTAAGCCGATAAAATTTTATCGGCTTAGCCAGTCGAAAAATTTTAACCGGCTGGGATCACTACAATTAACATTGCTAATTTTTGATCTCATATCAATATTATAATGACCTTGTATAGTATAACTTGTTCCGAATAGCGACAACTTTAAAATGAGAGATCATGGAATGAAATTCGTCTGATCGGCTAGTGTAAACAAATTGACCGGGTAACTATCAATATGCTTTTTGAGAACATAACGTTTCACTAGCAAAAAAGATTTCAAAACTGACATACTTCTGATTGGATAATACAAGTTATACTGTAGACAGTTAACTGATTGAAGGTAACCGAGAACAGGATGAAGACTGCTAAACCACTTTAAATTTATCACTAGCTATTTGATTTGGATAAGTAAAAGCTTGTTAACGACAGAAGATTCGGGTTATGTTTGAATTATGTAGTGTTTTTGATAATAAACGTTTGAGTTATGGATAGTAGGTTGTATAGTGGAGCTCGTGCTTATTAGTAGTAAATGCCATTTTTATCCTAATTTACAAGTATCCACATATTCCCTAAATACAGTATATGCAGTGTTGTACATTTTTGCTGTCCACAGCCTTTTTTGACCTTGTCCACGTCCACAATGTCCACATGTCCAAGATTGTCCAAAGCTTGTCCAAGCTTTAATAATTAATAAAATTATTTAAAAAATATATAATTATATATTTTTTTAGGTACTGAACATATTTTACTTAAAAATAAAAATAGGTTATCTTAATAAAATATTGAGTAATTTTAACTTATTTATTTGTCCACAAATGTCCACAAATGTCCAAACTTATGTCCACAGCTGTCCCATGACAACACTGAGTATATGTAATAAATTTTTGTGTGGATTGGCTAATTTATATTTACTTTCGCATGTGTATTTCATAAATTTATTTATTTGGTTTATTGTTATCAATGTATATTAACTCGCATATGATCAAGAATTTTTAAAAATATTTCTTGGAAAAGTGATCGGCGAGTTCCTGACCGTTGGTCAGGATGTTACATAATTTTTATTTAAATTAAAGGAGTCAACAAAAAAAAAAATTTTTCAAGACGTGTGTAGTAAAAATCTTTTTCAGAACATTTCTAATAAAGTTATATAAATTAAGCATGCAACCACAAAGAGATGAATCTATGTACTTATCCGAAATAGATTCATTGAAGCTGGAATTGAAACAGATAGTAAAAGAAAAAAATGTATTCGAGGTTGAAAACGCGAATCTGAGGCAGATTATTGAAGAGAATTCTAGACGTGATGTAGAGTTTAAGAGCAGAATTGAGGAGTTGGAGAATAGTAGAGCAGATACTGCTTTTGAGAATGCTGAGCTTAAAACTGTAGTAAAATTAAGATGTGATTTCGAGGAAATCAAATCAAAGGGAATAACCACCGATTCTCCAGAGCAATTACCAATTTCCTCATCAGCCAAAAATGAGACGGTAAGTGTTTTTACCAAAACGAAAAATTCGAATGATACTTATGAACAGATAGACTTACGATGCGATAATACTCCTCCATCTGATATTACTAATAACGTTTCAAATTCTGATGTATCTGATAACGTTTTTTCAGAATTATCTGAAAATATATGCCAGGAGACAAATCTGACAAAAAATCCTCAATGCACGATATCACCCATATGCGCAAAGTCTAAATCTTTTGAAGATAAAAAGATCGAATTTCTGGAACGAGTGCATAAAGAACAGATTAGGAACAAAATAAAGGAAAGGAATCGCGAAAAGAAGCTTAGATCCCAAGACCCTTTGTCATCTGATAAAGTTATAGAAGGCAATTCAGACATAGAGTGTCCTGCTTCGCAGACTAAAAATGCCCCGTAATCAGAAAATAGAACAAGATATAATTCAAGAAGTAATCCTGTTTATTAAAAAATCTCTTACCTTATCGAGTGATGAAAAAGCATACTCACAAAATGAACCTAATATTTCTGAAACCCACGATAGTAATATAGAAATAAACAATGATGGACGAGAGTTGGCCCAATTATTTTCTGATGCTGAATTTGCAGAAGGCAAAACAATAAAGGCTAAGCAAAAAGAGGTAATATGCTGGTATACTTACAGAAAAGCCTATCAAACCAGCGTTGCTGATATACGCTCCAAAACTGGCGTTTCTGATAAAACTGCAAAAAATCAAGTTTATGCTATGATTAGAGCTTCTTTACCCAATGTATCAGAAACGAATTTATATAAAAAGACTCAGAGAGCTGGGAATGTTTATAAACTGTTTGGAAAAATTACCGATCCTATAACTAAAGAAGAAATTAAAGGGATCGGAATCGACAAAGTTTACAGAACTTCATATGGTGTAAGAAGTATATCAGAATTAACTGATGCTCAAATTTTAAATATTATAAAACAAATTACGAAAAAAACACGTGACATCCTGACCGTTGGTCAGAAACTTCACGACAAAATTTTACCAAAGGCAAACTCATCTATTTCTGTAGATTCAAAAAAATTACCAGATATAACTCTAGAAGAATCATTAGAAACCAAGGTAAGTATACCAAAACAGAATGATCCGATTTGTGACTGTGCTTATTTTCGTAATAAAATCTTGTGGCGACATTCTGATTTATATAAAGAATTTAGTAGTGAAAAATTTGATTATTATGGAATTCTTGAGGGATCATTATGCCCAGTATGTAAGAAAAGTCATGAGGAAGGGAAAAGTGTAAAAGGTAGATATGAAGCTGGATCCTATTTTATTATATGTGGAAAGTGTAAAATCGAAATAACAGCATAAACCATACTAGCTCTAATAAAGATGATTAAAAGTATTTACTCCTGTTAATTCATATATCTCAAAAGTAGGCAACTACACAAATCTGGACATGAGCCAATAAGTGAACTGTGATATTTTTTTCTTTGACAATTACATGATTTTGAATTGACTTGCATTCATATAAATGATAACATGTCTTCTAGCCACTTCGTAACTGCCTCTAGCAATACTATTTCACAAGATTATTCGTCTAAAATATTAACTGATGACTACTACAAATGGCATGCTGAATTGGTTGATTTATCAAATCCTTTGACAGATAAATTCATTTGAGCTTATATAGAGTATATATGGAGGAGACTGGGCTCGATCCCTGGATAAATTCTGAAACTCCTAAATCTCCACAAATCGAAAAAGATGCTGAAAAAAAGATATTATTTGTACCACAGATAAATGTTCAGCCTACACTATCCAAACTTCGATAATCAATTCTATTCTACCTAAAGACCCGGAAGAGAAACAAAAACATGTTATTAAAATAGTATCAGAGTGATTTTCTTATTTAACTTTGAAACATAGTTTTAAATATAGTAATTATTTTGATTTTAGATCTGTACCCTGCCCTTTATGTGATAAAAACCATAAAAAGAAAAATATAAGAAATCATATAGAGGGTATTTGGGGTAGTGGTGAATATGTCAATACAAAAACTTATTATCTCTATTGTTATATAAATAAATATCAGAATTCAATTCCAATAGTAACCATAAGAGCATAGGCCTGCCTTCTCATTCTTTGAACTCGAAGCCAGATTATAGATACTGTGTCAATTTATTTTTTGAAATATATAAACTGACTATAAGAGGTGAAGCCTCATTACTATATAATACGAACAAAGTGAAATGAATTGTCAGAAAAACTAGGTATAACTTTATTATCACTACTAATTAATAATCACAAATCGATCACGTAAAAAATAAAAAATTAGGAGCGGACCCCTTCTTTATTTAATAATTTTTTTACCAAAATGACAATATACATATAAAGAAATTATATTTATTTTTCATTTATAAATTTTTGGAGTTTATTATAATCTAACAATGAACCATCATTAGATCTTATTTTCAAAGTTATAGTATCGATCACCCTTGTTCCATTATTTCGTATTTCTTCATGCCTTCCTAATATTAATGAAATAAAAAACTTAATTTTGAAAAATATCGCTTTGGTAAAGTTGGCAAAACCAAAAAGATAAAAAGGTTTCTTACTAGTTAGAGTAATATCCACAGGTTTGGTCTAGATGGTGTTGGGTTATTAGTTGTGAGAGTGATAGTGACATAGGTGGTGGTGATGGTGGTAGTGGTGGTGGTGTCATTAGTCATGGGGTGATGGTAGTATCATTAGTTATGGGGGTGGTGGTATCGTTAGTACTGCTTATTTTTCATTCCTAAATACAAAAAATCATCATAAGTTTTTATAATCTCTGTTAGATAAAATGATATTACTTTAAAAAATAATTACAGTTAGGTGAATCAAGTAAAAATTATATACAAGCCAAAAATATTATAACCCACCCTATTTCATCACCAGATCTAAAAAACTTGCTAAAAAAGAAGTTACATAATTAGTAATTACGTTACTCTAATACAATGTCAGATTACACTTAACAAAGCAACTCTGCTTGGTCATAAGTTTTAAATACTGAATTTATTTTGTCGCTTTTCTGATGAAATTAGCCTCCTTATAATCAACGATCTCTCCTATAATATAAAAAAGTTAATGATCTCAGAGATTGTGGAGATTTGAAGTCCCTGAATTTGGATAAAACTACTGATAATAACGTTGTACTCTTCCCTCTTATAGCCCTTTTAAGCTCTATTCATCTCTTTTCTTATCATAAGATTATGTATAATAAAGCTTCTAGTTGTTATTCATTTAGTAGCTATTAACAAAAATCAACTGTAAGAAATGATTCTGCAGAAGAGTGATACTGCATAAAATTTAATACCGGCTATTGATTATTAAAGCTGGTAAACTTTTTATCTGATAAACATGAATATTAAATTTTCGCTATTTTAGCTTCAACCTAGATCAAAATAAAAGCGGACTTGTGGGACCGTTGAGTTATATAATAGTATGACATATATGTACGTACTTTATTTTTTCAGCATGTATCGCACTTTGGTAAAAAAAAAGTGATGCTAGATGTTGGATCAACATTATAACGAAGTGCATACTGGTTATTTTAAATTTGTAAATCAGGCTTAAATATAGCATGTAAAATTATTATTATATCCCGTATAAGTATACCTACTCAACAGGTTATTAATAATCTAATCCCAAATATAAAAAATATACAATTGTTGGCATGTTTAATAATTGTGGTGCCGAATATAGTAAATATGTAATTGTTAGCATAGAAATTATCGTATTAAATTATTATGATGCCAAATAAAGTGATGTGTGATTGTTTTATAAAGTGTTAAATTATTGTAGTAACATGTAATTGACTTAAATTCAATACTGAATATAACATACTATAATTTGTTGTATAAATTTTCTAATAAAGAGGGCTTTCTTTCAATATATAATCAAACTTATTTGTTTTTCAACTCATTAATCTTATACTTTGTACAATACAAATATTTACCTCTTTTTTTTTTTACTAAAGACAGCAATTGCAATACAAACATTAAATAATAAATGAAAAAAAGAGGTGATTGTATTACAGGATAAATCTACTAAAACCAAATTGTCGAGACAGGCCTATACACATAAAAATAAAAAACTTAGGCATGAGCAGAAACAAACTGAGATGCTTTGTAGCCCGAATGATAATATTCTTCCAGTAATCAATAATATTATCTTTAATCCATCTTGGATATGGTGAGGGCAAGGTTGGCAATGGATATACTCCATTGAGAAAATTACTAATGGAGCAAATAGAACCAATAGAGCGAATAGAGCCAATGATACTAATAGAGAACCTATGAAGAATAGGGTTCTAATCTCGAGCCTCATATACCAATAGCTTGACATGATGATAAACAGATCAAACGGATCAATGTCAATAGAGTTGGTTGGCTTCCATTGGCTATATTCAGAAATTATTCTCAATGGAGCAATGGATCAATGTTAATAGAGTTGTTCTCCATTCGTTTCAATGGATAAATGTGTCAACCCTGGGTGAGGGGACTTATTTGTTCTACAAAAATTTGCAATCTTTTGGAAAAAAAAAATGCTTATGTCTATTATTTTATTTTACTAGCATAGAATCTAATCTGTCACCCAAAAATTGTCTGCTATTGACAATATTTATTACTTGGAAAGGGAATAGAGAAGCGTTCCTCTCTATCCTTCTGATAGAATATCTTCTAAAAAAATTAGGACCCAACATAATATATTGGCTAAAGACTTACTTATTAAAATGTTACTGAGAGAGGTATCTACTAGCAATAATTCTATTGACTTACCCAAAATTTCTCTAAATTTTTTATCTTTAGTTTATAGTGATATTATTAAGGAAAAGAATGATGTTAAAGAACCATTAGACGTTAATACTAATAACAAACGATTGTGGATTGCTTTTGGGTAGTGGTTAGGTTTAAAGAGATCAAAAGGACCACTAAGAAGAAAGCATGTGCGAGAACACCTCAGACTATTATAGAAAAAACTCCAGCATGCTTATATTGAGTTGCAAAATTTCTTCGATATGGCTACTATATGTAAAGGTTGAAAAGAAAAAACACAGCTTATCATATCAGCACGAAATAATAACAAATCGCTAAATAAGCTAGTTCAACTTGAACATATTTTTGAACCTAAGTGTATTACAGACTTGGGTCACCGAACATTAATTCACTTGGAGCAACTTGATGATCCAGATGCTATTACAATTGCATCTAATATTGTAAATTGGTACTATTTCCATTTATTAGAAAATCCTTCACACCAAAGTAAAGAATTTTGAACCAATTTTATTGAGCATTTTGGAGCTTATACAAGAAACAATTTACTTTCCTTTACAAGCTCTAACACTGCGAGTATACATAATATTAATCATCATAAATGCATTAGTAAATTATTTTGGAGTCTTAGAAAATTATCAGAAAGTATCAATCAGTTTCTTCAAGAATATTATGTGCAAAATTGAGTAAATTATTATTGGGCCTATTTACTCCAAGAGCATTTGGAGTTTTTCTAATAATAGCCATCATCTTTAATACCATTAGTAACTATCATTGGGATGATCATGATGAACCAAATAGTCTGTGTGTTTTAGTCACACTGGGAAATTTCGAAGGAGGAGAATTATGTTTTCCTCAATTTCAAGTAGTTGTACATCTTCGGCCAGGACAAGTAGTAGCATTTGTATCCTGTTTATTGCTTTATGGTAATTTTACAGTTACAAAAGGCATCTGGCATAGTATTGTGTACTTTGTACATGATACATTCTTTCATAATTTATAGGATTTTGATCCTACTTATCTTGAGGTTAGAATTAAGAAAGCTAATAGACTAATAGTTTCTAAGCAAGATCTTAATAATGCTTAAGATTTAAACTATCGTAACCAACTTTTCAAACCAAAAGCAAGCCAAATACAAATCTCTTCTACTGTTTTTGATTGTAGATGAGGATATATAAGTATGAATTATTTTATAGTTAATATGTAAAAATATAGTTATTATCATTATTAATAATCAAATATTTTCATAGATTTAGCATGTGCTTGACGAGGTTTAAGGGCAGAAGATCTGCTTCCAGATTTATAGTATATTATTTATATATTTTGCTTCGACTACTGTATACTTATGTAATTATATAAAACTTGTAAATCGATCAAAAATTCAGAAAATTATTGTCAAAACATTATTTGGTTATATTGTACAAATATTTATTATTAGGTAGATAAGCCTTTTAAAAACATGAAGTATAATTTATACGCCATAATACTTGTTAAAAAAATACTACATATTTGTTTTCGTCCCTCTACTTAGTCTAATATTAATACGAGCTATATAATAATAGTTTAGATTGCCCTTATATAAACCTTTTTTTATTCTCTTAAAAAATTTTAAATCCTTTTATATTAGATTATTTTTGTGTCGATAAGACAATTGCTATAACTATTTGTTACGAGTATACTTAGTTATACAAAAAATTTTGTTTTAACTATTGAACAATAGGGCCTCTAACTAAGTGTGTTGTGAGGTTTAACATACTCATAATTACTGTTTGGTAGCTCAGTACTTTGGTGAAGATAGTTGTTTGTTCTACAAAAAATACACAATCTAGTCGCTCTTAATAATATAGTTTTCTCAGGTGTAGTTATAACCTTTTGAGGTAGGCCTAGGATCCAACTATTATCTCTCTAAAATTTATTTTTCTTTATATACATATTATAAAACACTTTTTGAGGGCGTGATCATTAACTATCATTGTCCTGTTGTAAGGAGAAGAAGACTGAATGAGCTTCCTGTAGTTAGTCTACCAAACTACAAAATAAGAAATAGTTTGAATGTATTCATCTTAAAATCTAAATAAATAGATATACTTTTTTTTTTTTTTGCCCTGGGCGTGATCGTCATCCTCAATGTGGGGCGTGTGTGAGAAGGAAGGTGATGCAGACTTTCTAAACAACTGAACCACACCACAGAGAGTGATTGAATGTATCTACCAGAAAAAATTATAAACAAAATTTAACCTTACTATACTGTCATCGATTAGTAAAGTTATATTCGACCTGAACCAGGTATATATTGCATTTCAAATTTGTTAATTTATATTGAATTGCTTTTGTGTTGATAGAACAACCATCCAGGTTACTTGTTTATGGGTATGCATAGTTATACAAAAAATTTCACTTGAGTTTTTACCTCTTGATGATAGAGCCTCTGACTTTGTATATTGTGTATTTGAAAGGGCATAATCACCATTGCTGGTGGCTTAGTACTTTGGCTTTGATGGTTTTTCAGTTCACAAAAAAAATAGACAAAATAAACTTACTCTGTTCATATAAAATATAATTTTAATCAAGTTTTTATTTATTTTTATTTATTTTTTCTCTTGCTTCTTAATCAACTATAACAACTGACTTCGAGCGATAAAATCACAAGGTAGTAGTATGATCTCAAGAATAGTATTAGGAAAATGGTAAACAACTATTAAAAATAAATTTATACTAATATTTAATCGAAAGATATTAAGTTTATCTCCTTTGCATTTTTTTGCACAGAATCGAAATATGTATCAGCAAAGTTGTCTAAACTAGTCCTGCTAGAAATGTTAGGCATATTTGATTGATCATTCCAGAGATTTTTAATTTTGGATGCACTTGCATTATGTTTATATATGTATCTTGAAAGACCACCTATTAATGTAATGGGTTTTGCTGGCAATGGAGGAGGTGACAATAAACTTGACTCATCTTGGATTTTAATATTGAAGCATTCATTATTCCAATGATATTGTATCAAGTCCTCGGATTTAATCTTATATCTGTATCAGCACTATCCTTCCCAATATACCTTTTTTGGCTTTACTTCAGTAATTTTTACTAATCTCTAGTATTTGAAGCATATAGCTATCTGACTTTTATGAACTTTAGGTCTTCGATAGCTAATATGCTCTATTTTCAGTCTGTAATTTTCAAGATATGTTCTAATACTTTCTTGTCTAAATAAGCCAAAAAAGCAGTATACATAAAAAATACTAGATCTTTCTTTAGAACGTAATTCTTGCAAATCATCTTTTATATGAATAGCCTATTGTTAAGGTGTTTCATAGGGTCTAATAATAGCTAAATTGTCATATTTTTTTTCTAGTTTGCATATATTTTCAACATGATTATAGTTATAACTATTACCTTTTGCTAAATTCTTTATTACATGACCCAAATCATATCCTGGACAGAGGTTAACAGGTTTGGGTACAGATTTATTATAAACCTCATCAATAATGATTGTAATTGGATTGGTTATATTTATTAACAAATCAGTGTTTTATCAATTTATAGTGTTTTTTAGCAATTTATAGCATTTTTAGTGATTCTTTATCAATCTATATTAAGAAATATCACGATTTAAATTTGTATCCAAAAACAAAAAAATGTAAATAATTATTAATATACACTTCATAGATTTTTATTCCACATCAACACTGCCAATTCACTGTACTTTGTTGGTTCATTGTCGGTAGGGTATATATACTTCTTTTGTACATTATTTTTCTGGCTTTGAGCAAGTATTGCGAAAAAGCAGTATTGTGATCTCAAGAATAGCATTAGGAAAACAGTAAACAACTATCAAGACCACATATCAATTTTTCTAGTTGCCAAGATAGGACACCATATCACCAGGACGCAGTAATTGTCGAAATATTTCACGAACGTTTTTGCTACTCCCAGATATTTACATAATTCAGGTTAATCGAACATGCCTATGACTCTACCTTGTTTTATATTTTTAACAGTAATAAAGTCAGTTGCCCGATCATATATGTGCTCATATTTATTTGGATTGCATAGTAGCATGTACTGTATAGGGCAAGTAGTAAACTTATCCATTGCCTTGTGCTAATTATTTTTTGATTTCTTAGCCATTATTACTTAGCTTTGTCTGATTTAATTAATCTCTTTTTTCTTTAGTGATTTTTCTTTAATATTAAAGGAGAATATTATTATTCAAATTTATACAGGTTTATTAATTAAAAAATTTTAATTCAAGCTAATTCATAAATGCAAAAATAAATTTTATTAGCTACGACAAAATTTTGGTGAATAGTGTATCCCATCCTTTTCATATTCAGTGAGGATAATTTCAAGGTACTGTTAAATCGAAGACAATGAAATTCTGATCACACAAATAGTTATCGATATCTGTATATATGCTATGCTGATCATTAGTATATAGGCAAAGAATATGGGCTAGTTTATCTGAGATGGACCCATTAAAGAGTACTATCCCTTAATTGATAATCTGCCAGTCAACAGAAGAATAAACATAGTATAACATGACACAAATCACTATGTAAATCCAATATAGTGTGAATCTAAAAAATTTCTACTGTTCGTCCAAAGAAAACATTTTT